TTAATTCCTGCAGGTTATCCTGGAAAAGAAGGTAAATAGCCGTCAAAAGACACAAGTTCAGAGAGAAAATAATCGACCATCTCAATCTAAGTCCGGATCATCTCTTCCAAACACCAGTACTTTGCCTTTACCCACCAGTAGTGACCAGAGAGAACCAACGCCTGCTCTTCTGAAAAACTCCCCTGTGCCTGCGGAACCTAAAGTGCCTTGTGAAGTATCCAGCCAAAGAGAGGGTTTAGGAGGAACTTTGTGCCAGAGAACAAAGATCAACATGACATACAATCCTATAACGCATACCAGTGCTCAGAGTATGTACTGCTGTCCTAAGAGAGGTAGTGGTTATGTAATGCTGAAGTCAGGCAGAAGGCAGGGTAGATTTATACCTTACAGACCCACGGTGGCCAAACTGCAGCCCACAAGCCACATGAAGCTCACGAGCATGGTACTTGTGGCTCCCCCAGCTGCTCTGGGGGACAGCTTAGCCCAGCACCTCCTGGCACTCCAGCTTTCCCCTGTCAGGGCGGGGGCTGCAGCCGCACCACTTACCCTGTGGTGCACTTCCTGGAGGGAAAGCCAGAGCGGCTCAGCACTGCGGGAGAGGGAGGGTTCGGGGGGCAGGAGGGTGGTCATCAGCTTTCCCCTGCCACTCCGCAGGGAGCACGTTATGAGGTAAGTGGCATGGCTGTGGCATTGCTGTAGCATGGCTGCAGCTCCCACACCAGCAGGGGAAAGCTGGTGGCCTCCCCCCACCCTCTGGTTCTTGATGTGGCTCCAGATGTGGTCCCCAGGGTGAATAACTCTGCCCACTCCTGTTATAGATTAACTAAATCAGAGATGTATAACATGAGCTTTTGTGAGCCTGAATATACTACACAGGGGGCATGTCTATGCATGCATTGTAATGCACAGTAGCCTATTATACTGTGTATTAAAGCAGCATGTAAAAAAAGTGCTGTTATGTTAATATGCAGTAAAATAGGCTATTGTATATTAAGCATCACTTTTAAAGCATGCACTTGTGTTACTGCACTTTGGGGCAGTTTAATACGCATTAATTTAGTACCTCACATTGGAGGTACTAAATTTAATGTACATTAGGAAAAGCGCATTAATGCACGTGTAGATGCACCCAAGGGTGGATAAGTATGGGGAGAAAGGCGGGAAGAAAATTAGAGGGAGCAAATAGCTGCAGACCCCAGCGAGTTTATTCTGGTGTAATTTACATCTGTTTTGCACATGAATGTAAGTTACTCCAAGATCTGGAAAAGACAGAGGACATGGAGTAGCAGAGCTTAGGCTGTTTCAGTGCTTTGCTGTCCATTGTAAGCAGTAAGTAACAGCTTCAGCAAGATAATCTGCTGCAGACACTGAACACGAATACTGGTTCTGCTTGCACTGGTTTAGAATTTTCATTGACTAACTTCAGACCAGAGTAGAGTGATTTATACTGATGTAGGACTGATGTTACATGTCTGTTTTGTTTTGACACTGATGTAAACATCTTATGGGCCCATACCAGGAAGCCAGTGGTATTTAGAGGAGTTATGTGAGAAGGAAGTTGTATCAAAACTAGAGACACAAAGGAAATCAAGACAAGTGAATTTTCAGTTTATGACCTTGCTTTTGTCTCTTGCCTGTTCGTTACTGGCTTAGTGTTCCTTTGTTCCCTTTTTGTCTCCTCATATTCATTCCTCTCTTGCTTTTTCTTCTTTCTTTGTATCTCAGATCTTCTTTCCAGCATTTTTTTGCTTGCTTCTTATTTCACTTTAGGCTTTTCATGAGTTTTTGTCTATTTAATTCTCTCTACCTGGCTTTAATTTTGCTACCTACATGTCATACCCTTGCTCTTTGCCTGTCTCCGTCATATGCATTCTTTTCTCCTGCAGATAATGTGGTTTATGGCAGCATGACCAGGAACCACTCAGCGCCACTTCCTCAGCATCATAGAACTTTCTCAGTCAGCAGGAAGCTGGGAAGACAAATTACATGGATGAATGTAGACACTCAGCCACCTGCTGTGAGCACACAGAGTTTCTATAATGTGAGTAAAACTCCCATGGGACCAGCCTGGTCTTTTGCAGGGCCCCAAGGTGCTGGGGAATAGGGGAAAACGAGACTTTCATTTGCCTACCCCTCTGGTGCCTTTACCAAGAGGTTGGCTAGATTGGTCTGTGAGGTGCTGAATTAGAAGAGTTCTCAGTAGTCACTTGAGCTGGTTGTGGCTAGGGCTGGCCCTGGCATGCCATATATAGTGTCAATCTGGGGGCAGCATTCTGAACAGTGTAGATTACAGTCTCATTGTGCCTGTGTATAAACAAGCACCAAAGAAATGCACAGTAACCCAAGTTACTGTGCAGTAGCACCTAATAATACTGCTCAATAGCATCACATCTCAGTATCAGGCTACTGCACAGTCAGCATCTCATGTAGATGTGGCCAGTATCTGTCACCAGTTAGGATTCATAACCACAAGCCCTCTCTTGGAGCTGGGACTCTAATTCCTTTCTTTTAGAATATGAGAAGGCAGGGGGTGCCAGTCTTGACGAGATAACAGTAAGCTCACCTTCCTCTTAATTGTGCAGTTAAGATGTTCACCCAGGATCTGGGAGATTCAGGTTCAAGTGGCTCCTCTTCCTAATCCATGTCTCCTGTCTCCCAGGAGAATGCTGCAGTAACCAAAGTATACAGTACTCTGTAGTGTACTAGTCTCAGCCACTCCAATTGAGACTTACACTTTGCATGTAATAATTTCTCATTTAGTTAAATGGAGTACTAATGCTCTAGCTCAGCAGTTCCCAAGCCATGACAGATTGTGCACCACCAATTTAAAACAATACAACCTTAAGTACCACCAGCAACTTTTTCTCATATAAAGTAATTATAATACATCTGTTAATGCATACCACTGACAGGTTGTCTGTGTACCACTGGTGGTACGCGTACCACAGATTGGGAATCACTACTTTAGCCAGTCCCCAGGATGCTCACTTGGGAGGGAGGGAAAACACTTGGGTTTGAGTTCCGGCTCCGCTTTGATATCATTTATTTATATTAGTTGGAAAAGCTTCAACAAGAAGAACTGAGAGCAGTGCATCACAGAGCATCCTGCTGGATGCTTATAGCGCACTTCTGTGAGATGCCGGTTCAACTCTGCACAAAGTCTCTGTAGCCTGCTCGTTAGGGCCCTCTCCTTCAGGCTGTCCTATATAGGGACATACTTCATCTTTTGTCCTGTGTGGAGTTGTATGTGGTCTAAGACAGTGATTCCCAACAAGGGTGCTGCAAATACCTATACAGGATTCACAAGATAACCCCAGAGGAATCCATAGTGGCAAAAACATTCTGCCTTGTTATGGTTTTTCTGAGTTCTTTGCAACAGAAGAATTGTTCTATTATTTTTATCATAGTCAAAAATGAGTGAAAATTAAGAGCTGGCATTTTCTAAGGGGTGCCTTAACTGATGACTCTATAGATTTCATAGACATTAGGGCTGAAAGGGACCTCAGAAGATCATCGAATCCAGCCCCCTGACCCGGGGGCAGGAAGTCAGCTAGAGTCAAAAGATCCCAGCAAAATAAATGTCCAGTTGACTCTTTAAGAAGTCCAGAGTAGGTGCTTGCAGCACCTCTGGCGGCAGTCTGTTCCAGGCCTTGGGGGCTCAGACTATAAAGAAGTTCTTCCTTATGTCCAGCCTGAAACAGTCTTCAAGGAGTTTGTGACTCTTTGACCTTGTCATCCCTTGGGGTGCTCTGGCAAACAGGTGTTCACCCAGATCCTTATGTACACCCCTTATATACTTATAGGCAGCCACCAGGTCCCCCGAGCCTCTGCTTTTCCATCATAAGGCCTGTTTTCCTGCCCTCTGATCATGC